AGCCGTCTTGGGAGCGATCTCGGAGCCTCTTGGGGGCCACTTGGGGTGTCGTAGGGCGTTCTTGGCCCGACAGACGCCTTCGGAGGCCGTCTTGGAAGCCTCTATGGGCCACCGTGGGGTGTTCTGGGACGTCTCCAGGCCGTCTTGGTGGCCTCATGGGGCCGTCTTGGGGGCCTCTTGGGCCACCTTGGGGGTGTCTTGGGCTGTCTTGGGGTTCTCCTCCTGGGCCGTCTCGAATCGATCTTGGGGGCGACATGGGCCATCCTGGACCATGCCTAAATCGTTCAGACATTTTTTTGGTGCCCTCTTGGGCTTCCCAATCTTGGGCTTCTCTTGGGCGCCTTTGGGGCCCCGTTTGGGCCGTCTTGGGCGCCTCTTGGGCCGTCCTGGGGCTCTTTTGGGCCGTCTTGGGGCCTCAGGGGCGCCTCTTGGGCCGTCTTGGGGCGGTCTTGGGGACCTCTGATGTCGTCAAGAACGGTATGACAGCGAAAAAATTCAATATGCTAAAAATATACGTTTTGCGAAGGGAACGGGGCTATTTGTGCCTCTTGGGGACGTCCTGGGGGGCCTCTCGGGGGCTCCTTAGAGCGTCTGCGAGGCCTTTGGAGGTGTCTTGGGGGCCATCTTGGGCATCTTGGAGCGGCCTTTGGGTGTCTTGGGTCCGTCTGGGGGCGTCTTCGGGTTCTCTTGGCGCGTTCCCGGGGCGTTTTTCGAGGGCCTCAGGGACGCCCCAAGAGCCTGGGCACACACATTTGCGGTCGTGGTCGCGGCCCCGGGCCCCCGGACCCGGTGCGCCGTTATATGTATAAAATTGGCCTCAAGGAGACTGCCTCGAGGGCCTCTTGGGCTTGTTTTGGAGCCGTCTTCGGGGGGGCCTCTTGGGCCTTCTTGCAATCATCTTGGGCGGTCTTGGAGCCGTCGTGGCAGCCTCTGATCGTCCTCTGGGGCCACTGGGGAGGCACAACCCCGGGGTCACAACTTGACTCCAGGGGGAGGGGGAATGTTGGAAAAATGGGCCGCCCCATGCCCCATGCCTACCTACCGACCTACCTACCTACCTACCTACCTACCTACATACATACACACATCCATCCATCCATCCATCCACACATCCATGCACACATACATTCATACCCACGTACATACATACATGCATACACACATACCTGCATACAACCATCCATACACACAGGCACACACATACATACACACACATACATTAACATACACGCACACATACATATACACATACAAACATACAAACATACACACACATACATGCATGCATGCATACGTACACATACATACATACATGCATACATGCATGCATACATACACACATACACATACACACATACACACATACACACATACACACATACATACATGCATACAAACAAACATACATACATACATACATGCATGCATACATACATACATACGCACACACACATACATACATACATACATACATACATACATACATACATACATACATACATACATACATACATACATGCATACACACATGCATACATACATACATACATACATACATACATACATACATACATACATACATACACCAACACACACACATCCATACAAGCACATCTAACTATAGACATGCACAAGTATCTTCATCAATATTGCACGTGTGCACCGATCTACATCCATATCTAGATCTATATCTATATATATATATATATAGGTACAAACCTAAACGAATTTACGTCCTGTTACACATCGCATCGGTTCCAAACAAACTCTGTTGCATTGGAATCTGGATCTCTGGCATCCGTTTCGGGATTCTTTTTGGCATGGGATGTCCGTATGGACTTGCGTGGCCGGGAAGAGAACGTCGTTTGTGGGGATCCAAATCTGGATCTGCTTTCGACGCGCCAGAATGGACCTTCTCCCATCAACATAGCTTTAGCCACACGGCAGATCCTCTGCCACGAGAAAACATTTGCGCGCCAAAGGCCGTGATCGGCCCTCTGGACATCAACTGTTTTCGAAACTTCTTATTCCTTCGAAAAAGGGGTTCGTCCGTCCCCCTGCCCTTTCCTTTGGGTCTAGACGGAGGGTTTCGTGAGACGCTGGGCCGTATACGATTGCACACTCTGGCAAACGAAACAAAACATATGATAGAACAAACTCGCCCCGAATGGCTTCTGTCGTGCTCCAATGGGCCCCCACCGCTCGAACACAACCTCAAACAACCACGGACCCTCCAAAAGACGCCACCCGATGGCAAACATCCAATCGAAACCGTTGGAATCCCACCAGCTGTATGGGTTTACAGCGTCTCCTCTTGCATATGTACTCCCTCATTCTTCCCCTTCGGAGCAAAGTTTACCCCTCCCCCTCTCCCTCCCCCTGGGTCTGGAGAGGCGGGGGGTCGCGAGCAGTTAGAGCGTCCAACTAGCCTCAGCGAGAAAGCACGAATGATACATTTTCTTACTAGGTTTGGGGTCGATTCGGTTTTTCCTAGTGAGCGAGGTTCAGTGCCGCCGCCCCCTTTTCACCCGCTGGTCTCCAAGATGGACCCAAGAAGGCCCGAAAATCCTACAAGAGAGCCCCGAAAGGGCCCCAAGAGCCCCCCAAAGGCGTCAGGGAGGCCCCCAAGCGGCGGGGCTGATAAGGGACATCTTTGCGAGGCTTTTGGGCCACCATGGCTCCGAGAGGTGGTTTGATATGTCTCCTAAGTGGCCTCCAAGACGGCTCCAAATGCCCACGAAGCCTCCCAAGGCCGCATCCAAGAGGCTAACACTCTTCTGAAATCTAAAAGAAATCGTGAGCTTCGCCTTATTGCTCCAAATTTGCTGCGTGGGCCTCATATTCACTCCAAGATGGCACACGAAACCCCTCGTGATGCCCAATATTGCTCCAACATGAGTTCAAAAACGCTCACGAGCGCTCCAAGAGCGTCTAACAAGGCCCCCCAAAGGCGAAAGTGGGGACTCAAAGGTCACCTGAGTGCCACCAGTACGACGTTTAAACATGCCCCGATAAGCTGCAAGAGGATCCCACATCGAAAAATCAGAGGTGGCATTTCTGCTTGGCTTTTGGGTCTGGGCAAGCTGATCCAGAGCTTCGTTTTGTGGGCTGTTCCACCACTTTGCTCCACTGCTTGCTTCCACATTTTTATGCCGGCCAATTTGCCATTCGATTGCCACGAGTCGCCACACGCTGGGGCGGACGACCTCCGCCTCGCCGCTGACGAAAAATATGTTTCCACATTTTTCTGAAAAGCGAACTCGCCTGGGCATGACTTCTGGATGGGCTGACCACTTCGATAGGCGTGCTCCGCGCTCGCCAACAGCTGTAGTCCAAAGCGCTTCGAGGTCGCTTTCTGACAGTATTCGCCTCGGCGTGAGCTTTCTTTGGTCTTCTATGCAACCAATGAGTTGCAAGTTTGGAGTGCCTTACTGGAGTTGGGTATACGTGGAGTGCAACCACTGGAGTGTAATGGGGGTGAAGGCGACGCGAAGCAATCCATTAGGTGCAATGGGGGGGGGGCCCTGTCCATGGTTTGCAATCGCACTGTTACCAGAAATTCATTTCGCCAGCCCAACGGGCCAGAGGCGTCCTAAGATTTCCAGTGGCAGGTTCACAATATTTCTCATTCGCGCGCGTGTGGCGGCCCCTGGGGACCCCGGACGAAAAGTACCCCAGTCGATGCCTGGCCGACTCCCCCAGGGCGCACCCGGAGCGCGCCAAGAGGGCCCAGAGGACTCCAACATCGTCCCCAGACGGCCCAACGCGCCCCCAAGATGGGCCCAAGAGAGCCCAAGACGGCCACAACACGGCCCAAGAGGGTCCCAAAACGACCCCAAGAGGGGCCCAAGAAGGGGACCAGAAACCGAAAAGTCCCCCAAGAGGCCCCCAGGAGGCCCCAAGAGGCCCCTACGAGGCCCCAAGCGGCGCCCAAGAGGCACCCCAAGAAGCCCCAGGAGGCTCCCAAGAGGCCCCAAGAGGCCCCAACACGGCCCCCAGGAGGCTTCAAAAAGGAGGCTTCAACACTGCCTCCCAGAGGCCCCCGAGAGGCCAACCACGAGAGCTCAACCAACATCCATGAGGCCTCTGACCAACCAACCACTGCCTCCCAAAAATGGCAGCCGCCCAACGGCAACGCATTGACAACAACACACCCCTACAAACGACAGCGGCGAGGCAATATGGGCCGGCGGAATGAGCGAAACGATTAAATAAAGAGTAGTCCCACAAACCCTTCATGTTCGGTAATTTCATCATATAATTCCTTCGCGTGTGCATTCGTTACCTTTTGGCGCACTACAATTGTTACGTACTGCTGCGTTCGATCGTGCAACGTTGCCAGTCGTGCTTGCAATCAGACGCTGTTTTTGTGAATGCTTGGTCGATTCTCAAGCGGTGAACCACACATGGTACAAACTGTAGGAAGCGAGCTGAAATCGAGGTGTGTTGCCTGGAACGGTATAACGCGACAGATTGCTCAATGCAGGCGGCGACGGTGCTTCGGATTCACATTCATTCAACACGCACTCGAAACGCATACGGGACACGGGCATGGAAACGGCACACTCCGAAACCGATCTCGTACTGTTTATCCGCACCTACTCTGTTATTGCCGAACTAGTTGCCGATTCTTCAAGTGCCTTGCCGCCCACCTCCACATCAATCTCATTCTCTGGCCATACGTTTGATGCAGCTAGCTCCCATGTGCAACCATGTTGACATAATCGCGCTAATTACCAAAGACATAATCGCATTCCAATCTACAACAAGTCACGTACAATCGGAACCAGCAGTCATGTTTTCCCGTAATTGGCTTATTTGCTTAAGTTGGAGCGGCTTCACATCAGACGCGTCAAGTACGATAATGATGCCCAAATATTCTCGAAGAAGGCTCGGACATCTGTGGAGGAGCTTCCAGGGCGGGCAACTTCAACGACTCCAGACGGTCTTCGGAACGAATGGATGGGCTCGAAAGGAAAGGGAAGAGGGGAGAGAAAGCCTCAAGCCGTCTCGGACTGTGCACCCCGCAACTCCTCCTCTTTCGGCGCGGTCGCCGGCTCCTCCTCCGTCGGAACGGTCGCCGTCTCGCCCACGTCCAGCGGAACTGATGCCGCGCCCCTCTCCGGGGGGTAGCTCCTCGCGTCCGCGCCTGTAGACTCCCCGGACGTATCCTCCTGCTGCTCCTCGTCCTCCTCCTGCTCATCCGCCTCCCTCCTCTCTGGCGGCGCTGGAACACGGGCGGGTCGATGGAGGAGGCCTTCTGGGGAGTCGGCTTCTGCGAAGAGATGGCCACCTTCTCCCAAGCCTCACGTAGAGCCTCGGGGAAATCTTTCAAGGCCTTGCCGACGCGCGCGCGCGGCCCCGGGCAGGAGTGACCTTCGGTGCGCGGCCTTCGGTGGCCGCGAGAGGGCTCAGACCCGAGCGCGCTGGCCAATGCTGGGGGGACCCCTGGAGGAGGAGGAGGAGGAGGAGGAGGAGGAGGAGGATGAGGAGGAGGAGGAGGAGGAGGAGGAGGAGGAGGGAGGAGGAGGCGGAGGAGGAGGAGGAGGAGGAGGAGGATGGAGGAGGGAGGGAGGAGGAGGAGAAGGCGTAGGTGGAGTAGGAGTATGAGTAAGGATAGGATCAAGCTTACTAAGGGGGCCTCGAGCGAGTCCAAGCATGACAATGACCGGTCCCAGCCCGCCCTCCCACAACATAGAAGCAGAAGATGGCACAACTGGGGGCCGAAGTCACACCGGCGCGAGCCGGTGTTGGTATCAGCTGATTCGGCCGGGCGATGGCGGTTGCTCGACCGGGACATGTGCGAGGGCGCGTGTTTGAAATGCGCGGCGCACCATATATGCCAAACGAGTCGTAAGAATGGCCCGGGTAAACCCGCAGGAAGCCAGAGGTGGCCGGAGGAAACCCGACGGTCTGACAGGACACCCCAAAGCATTTTTGTGAAAAAGCATTTGGTTGTTGATGTTTTTATGTTGAAATGCTTGCAAAAACACGGTATTCGGTAGGATTCTGACATGAACGCGCGAGTGTGCTCTTTGTAATATTTTTTGCACAGGATTCGCGGCCTGGGTGCATGACAGAGCATCGCGAGTGCACCGCGCGATGACGTGAAATCGCTGGATTTGACAGAATTCTTAAGATTCCTATGGTTTTCCTATGATTTCAGCAAGAGAGCCCGGGCGGGAATTTTGTACATTTTTTTGTGAAGAAGCATTGGGTTTTTGATGTTTTTATGTTGGAAAGAGAGCGTGATCCACCGCCGCTTTACTCTGGAAAATTGCCAACATTTTCCTCCGGAGCCCGGGGGTCGCCCCCCCCCCCCCCCCTCCGAAAATCCCCCCCCCCCCCCCCCCCTGGAACCTCCCCCGCCCGCCCCCCACCTCTTGCTCTTCCCCCGGCAAAACCCCCCCCGTCCCCTACACCCCCCTCCCCCCCCCCCCCCCCCTCCACCGCTCGAAACCGGGGGGGGTCACTACCGCGGGGTTCGAAACCCCTCCCCCCCCCCCACCCCCCCTTCGGATCCGGAAAACCAGATAGTGGGGTCAACTACCTTCGAACCCCCCCCCCGCCCCCCCCCCCCCCCCCTCCCCCCTACTCACCGCCAGCAAACGACTCCCGGTCCCCACCACCGTCCGCATCACATCCCCCACTGGTGTTTCCAGCACCACTGTCCTCACCACCGCTGTCCCCACTGGTTCCACCACCGCCCCTACTGTCCCCACCAGTGGCCCCACCACTGTCGCACTGTCCCCGCTGTCCCCAGCACTGTTCCCACCACGGTTCCACTCTCCCCACTGTCTCCACGGCCCCAACCACTGCCCGACTATCCCCACTGTCCCCGCTGTCCCACTGACTCCTCCGTTGTCCCACTGAGCTGTCCCACTGTTCCCACCACTGTCCCCAATTTCCCCACCACTGTCCCCACTGTACCTCTGTCCCATTGTCCCACCGCCGTCCTCGCCACCGCCTTCACCACTGTCCCCACCACCATTGTACCCTCCACTGTCCCACTGTTTCCTCCTCATTCCCATTGTCCCCACACCACTGTCCCCACCACCACCGTCACCACCACTGTCCACTGTCCCCCCCTGTTCCCACCATTGTCCCCACCACTGTCCCCACCACTACCGTCCCCACCACTGTCCCACAGTCCCACAGTCCCCACCACTGTCCCGCTATCCCCTCACCACTGTCCCCACCAACACCGTCCCCACCACTGTCCGCACCCCCACTCGGTTTTCGAGGGGGGGGGGCGGAGGGGGGGGGGTTCGAACCGGTAGTGACCCCCCCCCCTTTTCATGATGAGCTGGGGGGTGGGGGTGGGGGAGGGGGGGGGGGGGAGGGGTTTCGAACCGGTGTAAGTGACCCCCCCCGGTTTTACCCGGGGGGGGGGGGGGGGGGGGTGGGGGGGGGGGGTGGGGGAGGGGTTCGAACCGGTAGTGACCCCCCCCCCCCCCGTTTATCCGCCAGCAGCGGTAGAACAGCGCTCTGTTCTATATGTTGAAATCTTGCAAACACACGGTGTTCGGTAGGATTCTGACATGAACGCGCGCGTGTGCTCTTTGTGGTATTTTTTGCAATGGATTATCGCCGTGGACGACAGGACGTCCATGTCGAGAGGAAAAAATAAGAAACATGTTGATTTTGTATTGTTTTTTACAGGTTAGGATGGGACCACCCGGATGCGCCCCTATGGCCGGCCTGAGGGGGGAGTAGGAGTATATTCTAATAAGGAATAAGGATAAGAGGAGGAGGGGAGGAGAGGAGGAGGAGGAGGAGGAGAGGAGGAGAGGAAGAGGATAGGAGAGGAGGAGGAGGAGGGAAGAGGAGGGAGAGGAGAAGAGAGGGAAGAGGGGAGGAGGAGGAGGAGGAGGGGGAGGAGGAGAGCAGGATGGAAGGAGGAGGCAGCAAAGGTCACTCCTCACTCCTGCGAAGGGTCCCTCTTGCGTGCGTGCAGCCAGACAGCTGCCCACCTCGCCGTGCCCCTCTTCCGCGCCGCCAGCCTCCCCCGCCTCCCCCTCGGCCTGCTCCGCCGCCTGCCACCGCCTCGACGCTGGAGCCTCCGAGCCGCTGGTCGATTCGCGACAGCAGCCTGAGCGCTGGCGCCGCCGCTGCCGCCGCATTCTCGGCGGCAAGCGTCGGGGCCGCGGTCACTGGCGCCGCCTCCTCGGGCGCCGCCGCCGCCTCGGCGGCAGGCGTTGGGGCCGCGGCCACCGAGGCCGCCTCCTCGGGCGCCGCCGCTGCCGCCATCGCTGGTTCGGCCGCAGGCGTCGGCGGGGCCACGGCCAGCGAGGCCGCCTCCTCGGAAGCCGCCGCGACCACAGGTGTCGCCTCGGCCGCAGGCGTCGGCGGAACCGCGGCCGCCACCGCCGCCTCCTGTGGGCGCGGGCGCGCCGCCCGCATTCCTCTCTGCCCCTGCCTCCTGCTGGCATGCTGAGCTTGTCCTGCATCCTCGTCCCCGCGCGTGCCTGCACGCTCGTGTGCTCGGAGGCCTCTGGGCCCTCCAGGCTGGGCCCCCACTGGAGCGTGCGAGGGCCTTGCCGGCAAAAGCTGTGCCTGCGGGGTTGCGCGCCCTCTCTGCTCCCCGCCCGTTCCTAATCCAGGCCATCCCCCCTCGTGCCTTCCGGCGAAGCCGTCCTCCCGCGAAGCCGACCTGCCGCGCCCCCTCGTGGCTGGCCACCCCCCCCTTCCCCCGCTCTCCCCGGAGAACCGCCGTGCCTGGGGGCCTCTGGCGATCTCTGGAAAGCTCCCCAGAAGCCTTTCGATGCCTGCGAAGGTCCTCATGCAGAGGCCTCCAGAGGACTCTGCGGACCCCTTGAAGCCCCCCTCAAGGGCACCAGGCACGCGCAGAACTTCGATCTTCGATCATTCCTCGACGCCAAGCGGCTCAGGCAGCCCCCCGCCCCTTCGGAGCTCGGCCACGCGCACACAGCGGGCCCAGGCAAGGGTGGCCTTTGGTGTGCGGCCCGCCAATCGTTGCACGAGGTGCGGCGGCAGCGGCCTGCGTGCTCGAGGTTGCCCCCCCCGCGCCCCCCGAACGCTGTGCACCAAGGTGGCTCCAACAGAGGGCCACTCTTACGTGTGGTCGAGCTTCTGAGCGTCGGGCTTCTCCTTCTCCCGGGCGGCAGCGTGGGCATCCGCAGCGGCGGCGCCTGCCTCCGCGGCCTCGGGGCGGGGCTGGGCGCGGGGGCCACACGTGGGGGGTTCGCCCGGGCACGGCGGCGGCACCCACGGGCGCCTGACATGCGTGGGCAAGAGCCCCGTGCCTCCAGCGCGCATTGAACAAAATCCAGACGGAAGCTTTTCCAAACTTTCGGTCTCGGGGGGGGGGACATTTTCGGGCCGCTGGGCCGTCAAGGAAAGATTCAGTGCGAGACGCCAGTCCTGCGGGAGGGATCGAGCGCTTCGGGGCCGCCCGCGTGTAGGAAAACTGAAGCATCGGGGGTCGGGGACGGTGCTATGGTAGGGTGAGGGGGGAGGGGAGGGAGGGAGTCTGAGAAAGGGGTTGAGACATGCACTCTGAACCTGCGGCTAGTAGCTGGTCGCCCTCTTACTTTGAACACGCCGTGCTCTTCCAAGCAGCATGTGCCGCGCACTCCGCCATCTTGCAACGCCAAGGTAGGGTATCTCTCGCCACGTTGCAGTGATGCTTGGCACACCCTCGGGATTCAATGAGCTGATTTGGAACACTAATTTCGTGCTGGGAGAAGCTACCAATGCTTGTCTCTCTGCACGCCGCTCGCCGCCCAAGCTCTGCAATGCCAGGGACGACATGGCCATAACTTTCACCATATCCTTGCATCCGATGCGCCTTCTTTGCTGACCCCAACTCCCCACTGAGACCTGCAGCTCCGTTGTGCAGGAAACGGCTTCAGCGGAGGCTGTGTCGAATACCGCCTCCACTCACCGGTCGGTGCTAGCCAGCGGTCCCAGAACACTATGCTGCTGGCCACAAGAGAAGAACAACATTAACGTACGAAATGCAATATGTGTCATGCAAATCAACTACCCCAATCACGATCTTAATGCATCGCGGTGCTGGGCAGACTGCTGCTTTCCAATCCAAGCAACCCGTCACCAACTGCACCCTGATGCCGTCTGCGGCGGCACATGCATCGCGACACTGCTGACCCCGCGCTGGAGCATGGTAGATTCTGCGATTGCCGCGCAAGGGAGAAGGAGGAGGAGGAGGAGGAGGAGGAGGAGGAGGAGGAGGAGGAGGAGGAGGAGGAGGAGGAGGGCAACGAATCTACACGCACAAGCGACGCAGTGACCGCGGCGGCTCTGGCGCCTCCACGTGCCCAGAGGCCCAGCCCCCGTGCTCCGAGACCAGCCCGCCTGCAAGTCCTGCAGTCTCAAGTCGAAGTGCCTCTGCAGCTGCTCAAATCCGCTGGCACCCGCTCTGGTGCACAGCAGCAAGTGAACCCATAGGTGCTCCCAGCTTTTGGAGTCCCGAAACGGAGCGGTGACAGACCGAGCGGTGACCCCGAAGTCCCCCAAGGCCTCACCGCGCGGTGCGTCCACGCACGGTTTTGGGACCTCGGAGGCCCCTGTCGCCCGAGACATCCTCGGAGAGGGACTCGAGCCTCAAAACCGTGCGGTGACCCCGAATCCCCACCGACTCACCACACGGTGTGGTCACCACCCCGTTTGGGGGCCCCCGACCAACGTACGGGGTGAAGCGAAACCGGAAGCTTCTTCGGGCTCGGGGCTTCGGGCTACTCGGATCCAGAGGCCCGGCGAGCCTCGA